TAAACATGCTTAAAATTGTTCTCTCCCCTTTTCTTGCTTTCTTTGACCCATTCTTCCCATCCAGCCTCTCTAGTAAAACTGCTTTTATGAACATGATTTCTGTTGTGCCACATCCTGGCATTATGCCTTTATTTTCACTTTATTCAACTTCTCAATGAACTTGAAATTATTCTTTGAATGCTGCTTCTCTTGACTTCAGTGACATCACAGCTTAATATTTTGTTCTGTTTTGTTTTCCTTAAGAAATTGGACTTTCCCTTCCTTTCACATTTGCTCATGGAATTATGAACTTTAGACTAAAACACATTGACAAGGAAAACCACAGCCCACTTGAGCTAAAAGATATGAAGAGCAAATATTGATATTCTACTGTTCTAGAGCCCTAGAAGGCAAGAACAGAGAGAATGGAAAGTAGACAGTGGGCAAAGTAGAATAACGGCAGAAACTTTTTCCTATCTGCTGATTGCCATGGGCAACCCTCTAGCCTCAATATCCTATGCTTTCAAGCTTAGCACTTTCCCAAACTACTTCTAGCTTTCACAATATGCCTTGAGGGGATTGGAACTCAGGTAGATTGGTTAAGAGTCTCTTACTACAATTTAAAAAAAAATTTCTTTAAATTCCAGTTAGCTAACACACAGTGTAATATAGTTTCAGGTGTACAGGATAGTGATTCAACATTTTCGTACATCACCCAGTGCTCATCACAACAGGTGTACTCCTCAACCCCCATCACCTGCTTAACCCATCCCCCTCCATTCTGAGGTGATCCCCATGCTTATTTTCTAATTTTGATCACTTTTAAAATTATAGGTAACATACTCTTTTCTCTTAATTGTAATTTAAAAAATTAGGTGACTAAAATTATGTAAAAAAAACCAACCTATGACTTGTTGATAGAGAAAGAATAAGACAAAGTTAAGAAATATTTATGGATGGGAGGGCACATGGGTGGCTCAATCAGTTAGGCATCCTACTTCAGCTCAGGTCATGATCTCGTGGTCCGTGGGTTCGAGCCCCGCATGAGGCTCTGTACAGACAGCTCAGAGCCTGGAGCCTGCTTCCGATTCCGTGTCCCCATTTTCTCTCTATCCCTCCCCGACTCAGTCTCTGTCTCATCTTGTCTCTCGAAAATAAATAAATATTTTTTTAAAAATTAAAAAAATAATCATGGATGGAATTTATGGGGTGTATTACCTATTCCCAAACCTAGCAGCTGCAGATAACAAAAATTTACTATCTCACCCAATTTTTGAGGGCTGGGAATCTGGAAGCAGCTTAGCTGGGTGGTTGTGACTCAGCATATCTCAGAGGCTGCATTATCAGGATAGTCTAAGGGACTGAAGTTTCGCTATGGAGAATGGGGACCTAAACACTAGGCAAAAGTGAAGGAAAATGTGTGGAGAAATCTAATCTGCTTTCAAAGCTCCTCCAGACTGTGGGAGCTACATACCAGCTGGAGACCTAAAATCATGTTTGTTTATGAGGACCCATCCCCAGGATCCCTTCAGCACTGAGCTTTCTCTCCGTTTAGTGTGCATAGCATATGGCTACCTCTGAATCCTGAAGATCCATGATCCTTTATCTGTAGTTCTGAAGCCCCAAAGCTCTCAGATAGAAAGTATATTTTGTTTTGTTTTATTGCCCTTCTTATTTTATACCAATATTATATTAGCAATATCTGTACCAATATCATATTAGCAATCAAAAGTAATGACTTAACATGTTTTGGTATAAACTAAAGATAATGGAGAGATTAATGATAGATGATTTTCAATGAAGAGAGAATTATATAATGTGGTTTTATAAGATTCCAAATGTAAGAGAAATAATCAGAGAGGAAACACAGTACTATCATAGTTTATTAAAACAGAAGCCCCAAATGAGCATTGGAATTGACCTAATTCAACATCCTTTCAAAATAGAAAATTTTAAGATCTCGTTTAGTGAGGAACCTGACTTGAACTGACATGAGGCCATTCATGTTTAAATTCACATTTAAATCCTGCTAAATGTGTCTTTCCTTACATTTTGCTGCAGAATATTAAGAATTTGGTTATGCAGTGCCACCCCAGACCTGACTCGGTATATATGTACCATATGGCCTTTCTAAAACTTGAAACGGGGGTGCCTGGGTGGCTCAGTTGGTTGGGCGTCCAACTTCGGCTCAGGTCATGATCTCACAGGTCGTGGGTTCAAGCCCTGCGTCGGGCTCTGTGCTGACAGCTAGCTCTGAGCCTGGAGCCTGCTTCAGATTCTGTGTCTCCCTGTCTCTGACCCTCCCCTGTTCACGCTGTCTCTCTCTCTCTCTCTCTCTCTCTCTCTCTCTCTCTCTCGGAAATAAATAAAAATCATTAAAAAAATTAAAAATAAAACTTGAAACATTCCAAGACCAATCTATCTGGCCCCAAGTATTTAGGAAATGGAGGCTGTAAAATCTTAGAATGATGGTAATTAACCATTGTTAATGCTCTCATACATACTGTATCATTACTGCTTTACAGAAGACACAGCCAGGACTCAGGGACTATCTGATTTTCTCTTGTCTGTGGTCCCAGATGAAGGCAGGGCAGACATTAGACCCAGATCATTTGGCTCCAGATTGTTCCATAAACCCTGTTACACAGTGTTTGTCACATAGATTATAAATAGGAACTCTTTCTTTTTTCTGCTAAGACTGAGTCCATGGTTGGCATTGCCCTTAGCATAGTGTTTTAACAAATCTTTCATAAAGGGTAGAATTTATACCACAATACTTTAAAAAGTCTGATTTAAAAGAAGTCACCAGGGGTTTTGTGGATAGGTGAATGTCTGGTCCAGTTCCAGATCTGCAATTCACAGTCTCATTTACCTTGGGCACGTCACGTAGTTTCTCAGTGCTTTGGTTTGCTTCTCTGTAAAAACGAGAGAAACCATCAAAATCTTAAAAAGGAGATTAGGACAATTGAAGGAGAAAATACATGCAAATCACACTTAACATACATTCACAAATGGTTATTAGAAGAGAAAAGCACCCCCACTGATTAATTTAGTAGATAAAAATTGAATTCCTAAAACAGGACACCTGAGATCTATAATAGTTTTCCTGCAGAAAGATTCGTTGTTCTGTTGAGAATAAGTTTTTCAGTTTGTTAGTCTAACATCTTATTTGTTTTTGGAAGCATTGCCTGATTGAGGATCTTCATACACAGCCTAGGAATTAACATCTTTGCGAAGATCCCAGAGCGATAGTCATTTCTGCTTATCTTCCCCACTCTCTCATCACCTTCTCTCCCCATGCTTTCTTATCCCTCCCTCACAAAGGTGAGTTCCTGAACTGAGAAGAAATATAAAAGGAAGGGGAAAGGGAAAGGTCAAAGGAAAACAGAACGGGGAAGGAGGGCAGGTTGCAGAACAGCAGAGTCTCTGTCAGGTGCTGTGCATGACTCTGTTCGTGATCAGCCTGCAGCCCCTCTAGTCACCCTCCTCTGTGGACCATGGGTCATCCAGGGCTGCTGCCGACACAGCCCTGTCTGCCCTGGAATACGGGCCAACGTGCACTTGCCCACTGCGGTCGTAACCTTAGCCAGCCCACATTTCTCCTGTTCTAGCTGATAACTGGCACAGCCCGGGCACTTTAGCCCACTTAGAACATGGAAAACTGCTCTATTTTTGAAGGTGTACTTGCCAATTGTTTTTCAGTCGCCAGTGTCTAAGGTACTGGGACCTCAGAGCATGAGAGCCGTTCCCAAGCTTGTTATTGACCTCATCCCCAACCATCCTCTCTCTGTGCCTCCCTGACCCCAGGTGCGTGCTCTTCCACTGGCCTCTCTCTGTCTCCTGTGCCAAACCTGCTTTCTTCAGAATCCCCTTTCCTCTTTGCTCAGTGTGTCCCTGAACAGCGGGAGAGGGAGGGAGAGAGGGAGAGAGAAAGAAGGAACAGTGAGTGAGGAAGCCCAGGCTTTGCGACTTACCAGGGATTTTTGTCAAAGATGAAAGTATCAAAACGTACCAGACAGAAATGGAAAATTGTACTTTAAAGTAGGAACACATGTTTGACTTTAGAAAAGTCAAAACTGCAAAGGATTGTTTTCTTCTATTGTATTCTCTCCCCTTCTCCTGATTTTTACTTGGAGGCAACACAAAATAAAAGGAATGGGATCTATTCCTCCGCTACACTATGCACTCTATTACCTTTCTAAGACTTGAAAAATCCAGAATTCCAAAGCAAATCTGACCCCAGAAATTTAGGATAAGTACCTTCACGGCCACCACGATTCTGATTGCCTCCTAGCTGGTCTCCCCTTTCACCCTTGCTGCCCTTCAGTTTATTCTGAATGCTCCAGCTAGAGTGACAGTTAAAATCTAAGTCAATTCAAACTACTCCTCTGCTCAAAACCCTCCGATAAATCCTCCTTTCAGAGGCCCACAGAGGCCTCCATGACCTGCCCCTGCCATGCCGCTACCATGCTGACATCACCCTGCTGGCTTCTTTGCTGTTTTTGAACAGGCCTGGAATGTACATTGTACTCCTGCCTCAGGGCCTTTGCACTTGCTCTTTCCTCCAGATTACTGAAGTCAAGCTCCTTCACAGAGGTCAGTCTTTACTCAGATGATACCTTCCAAGGGAGACTTCCACTGATGATCTTTTCTAAAATTATATCTTCCACCAATATTTCTTCACCCCTCCCCTTTAGCAGTTGAAACTTACCTTAGGGATAAAGGTGTTTTTGTTTTTAGTTTTTCCTCTTTGGACATCAAAAAAACTTGCCTTGAACATCTTTGGCCTGTAGTCTGAAATTATTGCCTCATAGGAGTTTTAAGTGGTACTGTCATTCATATTTAAGAGTTAGTGCTAAAGTAACAGATACCATGCTATTACACGTGAGCTCATACTTCAAGGTTAAAAGTAAAATGAATGATCTTTCTTAAAAAATTCTTTTCTAGGGTCTTTGTCAATTATTCTGCATCTCGGGGTTCAGGAGAAATCCATTTGTAATCACTTTTCATTTATCCAACAGGGGGGACTAAGTGCCCAAGCTTTTGTTCGTGTGGAAATAGAGGACGTGAATGATAATGAACCTGTCTTTAACCCATCAACCTACGTGATGAGCATTAGTGGCCAGACCCAACCAGGCACCGAGATCATCAATGTCCTTGCCACTGACAGAGATTCTGGGATATATGGAACAGTGGCCTATGAACTCGTTCCCGGAGACCTGTCATCCCTTTTCGCCATCGACTCCACTACAGGTATGTGATCTTGGAACAGTTTTCCTCTGAAACCAGCAGGTTCTCCGTAACAGCCAGAAAATTGGCAAAAGTGATTTTTTATTAGCATGGGTACTGCAGGGCTCACTTCACCTTCCAGAAGGCAGCAAGGTATATTGTAAAGATCTGAGACTTCGTGATTAGATGCGACCAGGTGGGAGTTCAAGCCTTGTTTCCCACTGGTCTTAATGATCTTTAATGGCCTCAGTCTTTTTACTTTAAAGGTCGTGATATTAATCCCTATATTGCAAGGTTTTGTGAGTATTAAAGGCAGTCAATTATGAGAAACAACTGGCCAATAGTATTTATTTTGCAAATGTTCATTCACTCCATCTGTAGATGACAAGATCATCTACAGATGATTTCCGTCATTTCAGTGTATTAGTAGATAACATTAGTCCAAAGAGCATTGCATGGACATCCAAAGTAGCTCTCCTTCTTCTACTAGGTCTGGCATTCCCTAGTCTCTTTGGGTCTTAGCTTCCTTGTTTTTAAAATGGTACCTAAAGCTCTATTTAATTCTCTAATATGGTAATTGCATCTGCCAGAAACTGCAGTGGGTAAACTGAGTCTTCTAGAAATAGTAGAATGGCAGGAGGTTATCATCACATTCTTATTGATTTATTGTTAACAAAGTAATATTTGAAATACTTGATGACAAGAAAATAGGACATTTCAAGTACAGTGTATTACATTGTAATACTTCTCAGATAGTAGAGAGATTCTGGTCCCAAAATGATCCAGAAAAAAAAAAAAGCAGTGTTTTTTTTTTTCTTTTACATTTTTCCTTCTTTTAAAATGTTTTCAAATTTAATTTTACTTTATTATAGTAAGAACACTTAACAGGGGCTCTGCCCTCTTAGCAAACTTTTAGTATATGATACATAATTGTTGACTCCAGGTACAATGTACAGCATACCACTAGAACTTATTCATCTTGCTTAACTGAAGCTTTATGCCCACTGAGTAGCAATTTCCCATTTCTTCCTCCTTGATTGCCTCTGACAACCACCATTCTACTCTGATTTTATGACTGACTATTTTAGAGACCTCATGTAAGTGGGATAATGCAGTATTTGTGCTTTCGCTATTGGCTTCATTCACTCAACATAATGTCTTCCAGCTCATCCATGTTTTTGCATATTGCAGGATTTCCTTCTGTGTCAAGGCTGAATAAAATTCCATATTTGTGGAATGCATATACCACATTTTCTTCATCATTCATCTATGGATGGACATTTAGTTTGTTTCTACAACTTGGCTGTTATGAACAGTACTTCAATGATCATGGAAGTGCAAATATCTCTTTGAGATTCTACTTCTCCTTTTTAAAAATTGTTCATTTATTTACTTTGAGAAGAGAGAGTAAACAGGGGAGGGGCAGAGAGAGAATCCCAAACAGGCTCTGCACTGTCAGCACAGAGCCTGACTCGGGGCTTGATCTCACGAATTGTGATCTCACGAATTGTGAGATCATGACCTGAGCTGAAATCAGAGAGTTGGATGCCTAACCAACTGAGCCACCCAGGCGCCCCAAGATTATATTTCCTGTTAAAGCACCTGAGCACGAGTAGAATGTGTTTTATTGTGATGACAATAATGTCAGGGGCTACAATAGACATTTCCTGTACAAGGTCTTTTTTGGATCTTCACAATACCCTCTGCAACAACTGTATTCATTAGCCTCAAACAGTAATCTACACAGGAAAGCTAATCTACCAAGGGAGCTTGGCTTCTCACCCAGGCACGGTAAGGGGAGAGTCATTGCTTCTTGCCTGGAAGGTGGACTTTCATCCTGTGTGTGTGTGACTGGCTGGGGGATTAGTTGTTATTTACAATGGCAGTCTTAATATGGTAGAACTTGCCTTGCTCAAAATAATACACTGACATGGATCCTTTAACATTTTAAAAATCAGAAGAGTTTTTTTTTTTTTTTTAGGAAATTACTTATCTTGGCTTTTTCAAAATTCATCTGAACTGCTTGTCAAATTGTCAGGCCCTCTAGGATACTAGCATTGCCAAAAATATATAGGTCAGCCAGTGATCAGGGCATAGGATCTAAAAACATTTAGTAGATTGTTTTTAAAAGCCATCAATATACTCATCGTCTGGTTTCCTCTGGAAGGTCTTGAAGTCTGAGCTGTAGTGTGTTCTGTTTTTAGAAGAGATCTCGTATTGCTGCACGGGCTTCATTCAGCCACAGGCTTCCATTCCTGGCACAGGCCAGAAGACATATGCCGTTGTTAATCAAGGAGAACGCTTTACGTGGGTCATTATCTAGGAAAGTATCATGGTATTTTTTTTTTTTAAAGCAAAGACCAAATTCGTAATGGAAGTAGCCTGGGGTTGTTATTGTTGGCAGTTTTGATGCCAGTTCATTTAGGTTGAAGATGTTTTTCCAACAGTGCTTAGAATTTGGTTGCACTTAATATCAATTCATGAGAAATTCATGAGGCCTGGGAATGCTTTACTTTAACTTTTAGAAGAGAATTAAACAGCATCACAACTAGCTATGGGGAAAAGTTGCCTAGTGAACAGGCAGTCTTCAATTTGAACAGCTGGATTCAAGTTCATCTGCTGGCCGACCGCAACTCTGAATATATTTTCTTTTTTTCTAATTTTTTTTTAATGTTTTGTTTATTTCTGAGAGAGAGAAGAGAGAGAGACAGTGTGAGCAGGGGAGGGTCAGAGAGACAGGGAGATACAGAATCCGAAACAGGCCCCAGGCCCTGAGCTAGCTGTCAGCACAGAGCCTGATGTGGGGCCTGAACCCACGAACTGTGAGATCATGACCTGAGCCAAAGTCAGATGCTCAGCCAACTGAGCCACCCAGGCACCTCTTTAAAAAAAAAATTTTTTTTTTAGTGCTTTATTTATTTCTGAGAGAGAAGAGAAAGAGCGTGAGCAGGGGTATATTTTCTATATTGTACATAATAGACTTTTAGACTATGCCATCAAAGCTAATTTGTCAATGTCCTTTAAGAGTAGAACAAGGAACTGTGTTGGAATAAGGGTTTCCTCTTCTGGATCTATTTTTTGGTTGTAACCTATAAAAAGTTGGACTTTCTTTCTTCTGCCATTAGGTCTGTCTTTACAGAGGCTTCCAGTATAAATACAGAGTCAAGAGATTGCTTCCATCAATATATATTTGTAGACTGAATGAATAAATGACATCTAGAAATCATTGAAAAGTGATTTAAATCCTTATTACATATTCTTAAGAAACTTCGAGGGAGTGTCATTGATAACACAGAACAAAACTTCACTTAAAATCCTCTTTCCCCATCGCAGTGTGGTAGGTAATGCTGTGGCCGCCTCAAAATTCTCTCAAATTAGTTCCAGCCTCTCTGTGCTAGCGAGCACTTTTCTAGATATATATGCTAACTATGCAAATATATTTGTACTTATATGTAGTTATATATAGCATTATATAATTACATAGATGTCTAGTTGTAGAGTTTTATATTATATGAGAAAGATATGGAACATTGATGAGCTAATTTCTACATTGTCATCTCTTCCTGAATCACTCTAAAAATCTCTCTCAGAGAGACATCCATTCATTTGCTCATATGTTGATGCATCTTCTGTCAGACATGCTATTTTAGAAGCTTCCATGCTTTGTGCTATAGGCTCATGTTTTCCTGAAGGCAGGAGATTTCCCATTGATCTCTTTATACCACAACCAAGACTCATGCTTTAAAAATAGAGCTCTTTGACTTTCTGTGTTCATCTGGTAAGAAAAATGTTTTGGAGAAAACTGGAAGGGGGTGTGGTGATGTCATGACTGTTTTCTCTTGTGGGTTTATCTTCCTGTTCTGTTTCTGGTTTTCTAAGTTTGTTGTTGGTTCAAAGCACATTTTTGTAAAACGTGCTTCGGCACCAGGAGAGAGATAGTAAGCTGAGCCTTCATTTCTCTTGCTCTCCGTTAGCTGGGCTCCTTTGATGTGGGCACGAGTCAGACCACACTGTTTTGAGTTTTAAAAGAAGGAACACGAGAGTCATACTTATTAATAGCTCTTTTTATGTTTTTAATCCCATTTTGTGAATTGTATGTAGATTTTTTTCCCTACATCGTTTGAAGTATTCTCTTTAGGAGCATGAAAAGAGTAGTTCTCAGCTTTTGTGTTTGTCCTGTTTATTTAGTAACCTTACACTGAAGCAAATGTTACTGCTAATTTTATTACTTTAAGGTGTCAGATTGAAAACATTTGTGCTGGTTGTCTACAGCAGTCCAACTACCTCTTTGCTGTGGCTACCTTCGGTTAAATTCTCCTGGTTCACCTTTTTTTACAGAAGCAAGTCAACAATGTAAAGAAAAGTCCGTTAAAGTTCTAAAGACTTCTGCTGAAGGCAGAAAATGGAAGCATGTTCATCCTCTCAAGATGTATTTATTCACACGGTGCCTGGGTGTCTCAATCGGTTAAACTTCCAGCTCTTGATTGTGGCTCAGGTCATAATCTCACAGTTCATGAGTTCAAGCCCTGTATCAGGCTCTGTACTGACAGTGTGAGGCCTGCTTGGGATTCTCTCTCTCTCTTTCACTCTCTCTCTCTCTCTCTACTTCTTCCCCACTTGCATGTGCTCAAATTTTCTATTTCTCTCAAAATAAGTAAATATTTTCCAAAAAATATTTAAAAAAAAGACATATTTATTCAATACCTATTATGTGCCAAGCACTCACTGTTTTAGGTATTGGTGTACATCAGTGAGTGAGAAAGATAAAAATTCCTGTTCTCATAAAGCTTACAACAAAAGCTTATGTCGCCCTGCCTATTGTCTGTTCTATGTTTAGTTGCGGTGTACACAAAATCCAAGTTTAGCATTACAGAAGAACAAGTAATTAAAATGGTAACTGAGTGAGTGAAACTGCCACACAAAGGCAGCTATGCCTCTGTGTTTGGTTGCAGTCTTTTGTTTGTACAGGGTGTGTGGATTTTAATATGTACTGTAAGTAATGTAGCACAGACTCTGTTTTTCTT